AGGGGTGAGGCAGCAGCGTGTAATGAAACGTGTCTGTCGGTAGATGGCGCTGTTTGTTCGGTAATTTACATTCTGAAACGCTATGAACGCATTTGCTTCTAAGTTGCAACTTTTCTTTATTTCTCAATCTACCTTTTTTAATTTTAGAATTTTGTCATCTTAAATAAACCTGTTCTCTTGACAACGTGAAGGATTTCTGATAAACGCAAATACGTGAGTTATTTAAGTAGACTGACCGGGAGCCGTATAGAATGCAATATTTGTCTAAATCCCTTCTTTGTTGGTAATTAAAGTTTGATCTTGAAGGTGTGACTGGCAGATGTGATCTGACATCCATCAATGAGTGCCGTGAGCTACGAGAAGAGTGTGGGCTGTACAAAGTATAGGCACGACAGCTGCCTTTTCGAGACTTGTGATCTTGAAGTCGAATGATCAAGTGATGTCTCACATTGTAGTCTATAAGTAAAGTAAGGCAAGGCTTTGAGGGTAAAATTATGCAACCTCTTCGGGACTGACGCGTTACCATAATGAAACCTTGTTTCATCAGTTCAGCCGTGACTCTGGAGACGTAGTAGTAATAATCCCTTGCGTCCAGTTGGTGGAAATCCCCACGTGGTTTCGACTCCTGTATAAAAACTTTGGGTGTGCTGAGCCCCTGTTGTCGTGATTGCAAAGGGAGAAAAGGGTCTCAGTGAGCAGCATCTTACAGGACGCACGGGAGCTGGCCATCCACAGCTGCGCGCATCGCACACGGTACCCAGACGCATACACAAAAGATACGGGACTTACCGAACGCTGGTATTCTCCTCGGGACTGCGGCTGTAGTGGACCTTCTGCTGTTTGAATGGGAGAGAGGGGACTGAACACCTTTGGAAAGGAGTTTTATTTAGACTTGTCGGCGTGGCACTGCGCTTGTCCTCTTTTATTTTGCTAGATTACACGTCTGAACTAAACGTGGTATGACAGAAGCGCGTCAACAATCAAAACTCCTGCGTGCGCCTCGCAATTACAGAGATGAACTTTTATTTAGGGCAGAGAAAAGACGCATTGCTGGATAACAAGATGAATGCATAATGACTGGAGTAAATTAGCCTCCCAGTTTCAGCAGCACTCTTGTATGTTTGGGGAATACAAAGATTTCGTGGCTCCTTGCGGATTTCTTGAGGTGTCTCACTTTTGGAGCACCAGTGGATGTTCTCCAGGAACTTGCAAATTTGTAAATGAACATTAGCTTTAACCTCAGTGTGCGTTAATATATTCACCTTTTTCTTTCATAGCAAGAAAAATGAGCTTATACAGTCTGGCATTGTCCTGTTTAGTTGCGTGCGTTCTGTCCGTGCGCTGCAGCTCTGTGACCGGGACAGAGACTCAAAGTTCGCCCCAGGAGTCGTGTGCGTCCTGCGGCCTCAGAGCGCCTGATCAGTCGGAGCGGGTGAACATAGATTTCCTGGAGGCGGTGAAGAGGCACATACTGAACAGGCTACAGATGAGAGACAGACCCAACATTACCCATCCCATCCCGAAGGCTGCGATGGTGACGGCACTGAGGAGGCTGCACGCCGGCAAAGTGCGAGAAGACGGCCGGGTGGAGATCCCCAGCTTTGATGGGCAGGCTGCCTTCAACAACGAGGTTCAAGCGGAGACCTCTGAGATTATCAGCTTTGCCGAATCAGGTAATAATCAATAATTCATTGCACATGTCTAAATTGACCTCTGGATGAACCTATTCACCTTCTGACTTCATATAACGGGCAGTGTAGGAACCGGGTGAAAAGCAATCTTGTTCATAGATGAAATGTTATTTTTAAGGCTTTTTGTGTCGACATGACTAGCTAGTAGAGACAGAATAGATGAAACAGTCATAACAGTTTTCAAACAGCCATAAACTACTTGGATCCAGAGTAGTCATCATTTTCATTATCTTATTGCATCACAGTTCACTCCTGCCTGAAGCCAGTGGCTGTTAATCCTGTATCAGCCCAATGGAAATCAAAAAGAAATGAAACTAAAGAAAGAGTCCTTAAATTACCCCTATGTGTTGTCTAGGGGATAAAAAGAACCTCTGAATCCAATTTCATCACTAAAGCTGTGCTCACACTCAATACTCCAATGTATAAAGCCCTCTTTTAAATACGGACAAAGTCCTTCAATTGGCCATTTATCCCTTCCTCTAAGAATGTGTATCTAACTAATTCTCAGAAGTCCAAAGAGAACACCCTTTCCTCACTCTTTCCCTCTCTCTCTCACACACCCCCTCCCTACACACAGAGACTCTCTCTCTCACACACACACGCATAGGCTCTCATACACACACACACACACACACACACATCTAAAATCATCTGCACTTGACAGAATCCAATAATTGTCAGTTAGCCCAGTGAGAACCTTGTCTTTGACACAAACTGTTAGTTTAACAAAAAGAAAATATACAATTAAAGACACCAAAATAGGATGTTTTTAACACACAAACAATCCTGTGTTTTTTCTTTTGGCCCAGCTGGTACAATTAGCCTGAATGGACTGCAAGGTCCTGTCTTCCAATGGGAATGATCTGAGCGCCCTCATGACAAGGGAACAAAAGCCAGGCAATTATTATAAGAGCACTATGTGTTCCTGCTGAACACAACATGTCAACGTAGGGAAGAGAAAAAAAAAGCAAGGAAAACAAAAGAAATTGCTCAGAATAATGCATGAGACATTTGAGTCTATGCGGGGTTGGATTGGGGGAGTGTGGGTGGAGGGGTATGGTATTGATGAGGGTGGTGGGGGGTGATATTGCGTGTGTGTGTGTGCCCATATTGCAGTGTTGTAAAGAATGCTTTTGTCATTACAAAGGTTCGCTGGGCTCCTTTGCTTCTTCTTCTTCTTCTACTTCTGTTTTTTTTCTAGCTCTATTCTTCCTCACACCTTTGAGCTTTTGTGTGGCATTGTACCATGGAGCTGGCTTGGGTCCCTGCTCCCTAGACCCCGTCTGCCTCTTGGCCAGCTGGCTCACGCCCCCCAGATCGGATGCTGCCAGCCGGGGCATGGCTCAGAGGCAAGGTCTCCAGAAAGCTCTGAAGCCAGGGGAGCTTGTCCCACAAGTATGAGGGAGCCTGAATTGTTGTTTTAGGACAAGGTGGGTTGGGGGGTGAGGTTGGCATATGTTTAGCCAACAGCGAGCCAGCAAATGGATGTGGATCGGTGTTTATGAGCCCTGTGTATGAGTGGAACAGGGACATCAGCTTGTGTCCCCCGCTTCCTCTCAGCACAGGGTTAACTGCGGCTTCTTATCTCTGGTTGCGGTAGTGCAGAGGTAAGAGGTCTGCCAAGTGGCCCCGGGCAGGTGAGAGAGATGATGCCAATCTCCCTTCTCCCCTGACATGGTCCCATGGGTCCTTACTGAGGGATTCGGTGTCCCGTATCCACGGGAGCGGAGCGGGGAACACAGGCAGGGAAGAAGGGAGGGCAAAAGAGAGAGGGGGTGATGGAGAAGTTTAGATCGGCGCTTCTCGATTGCTCGCTATAGCTGTTTGGACCCAGTGAACTTGTGGCAAGTGGTCCAAGACTCGGAATTAAGACTTCATTATGGGAGGTCATTAACTCCGGCCCGGTTCCTCTGAGGATCGGGTTGGCAGGTTTACTCCAGGACACAACTCTTTCATGAGGACCTGTCAGTCATGGCAATCCTGGACCTACTCCAGACATTTTCCACATTCACTCACAAGGGTGTGTTTCAGTCAGTGGGCCAGGCTGCTACTGTATAGCTTGTGGTCCTATACATGATTTATGCAGCATTATTAGAAATTCCTCTGTAGTAAAGCTTTAACAGCTCCAAGTCCAGTGCTGTTGTAGCTTTGAACCTCTGTCCAAAAGTCCACAGTCTCAACCCTAAACTTTCATCCTCTCCATCTCCCTCCCACTCCTTCTCACCCTATGTGGAATTCCTGGAGAGCTGGGACTCAGGCCTGAGGGATGGTTGCCATATGTGTGCGCACTTCTGCTCATGTTAGAGCTACAAACGCTCTATGCCGAGCCCTCATCCGTCCATGCCGTGTGGTCTTGTCGACAGCGGGTTTGAGTAATGAGCTCTGGCGCTCTCTGCTTCCATGGCCTCTTCCACGACTAGGTGGCGCAGGTGGAGACACGCTGAAGCAGCTCTTTATCCACCCGAGCCCACCCAGGTGTCCTTCCTGCAGATAATCACAAGCAACTTTTCCACCATCGGGTCAGGCGAGGCGTGTCCGGGCCAGCTCCAAATTGTTTGTAACACTGGATAAAGAGAACTATTTGTTCTTTAAAAGTCATGTGGCATGTTGATGTATGCTCTCAAAACAAAGGGAGCTATATGATCAAAGTTGAATGAAACAATACTGGAGAAATGATGCTGAAGCTGACAAAAATGGAGTAATTCTTGATGCTCAGCTCCGTGAATTATTCATTCATATCCCCAAGTTGCGGCTGGGTCAAATACTGCAGTTCTACATTACACATTTTTGTCACCTCAAGGTCTGTTTAACAGTGGCTGCAGAGCTGTTGACCATATGTCACAATCTTCATCAGCAGATGGAGCATGGCAGTTGTGATGGAATTGCAGATGTTCCGGTTTCCATTTATCTAAGCACTTGAAATTTAAGAAAAAAGTTACGATTCTTGACGTGCTTAGAAAACTGGACCTTTACTGCCTCATGACTCACTGGCAAACTCCTGGGTCATGACTGAGAGCTCTGACGCAGCTGCTAAAGTGACCTTCATGTGAGACTGGCTTGTTAGCTGTAGATTACACAGTTTAAGTTCAGTTTCTGTTTGCGTTTCCTGCAGTGCATGAGTGGTTCTAAGTATTTGTTACAAATCATTATCACAGCTTCATTTGTTGTTCCTGATGTTTCCTAAAAGCTGTCAAGTAGAGCTATGAATTAGGGCCAAAGTGAGTAATCAGTTTAATTAAAAGCATATTCATTAGTAATGAAATTAAAACTTACTTAAAGTTCTGTTACCAATAGAAACCAGCTACTGTATAATAGCATCACTTGTGATGTTTACAGATATTTGTGTCAAAACGCAACAAACGCAAAAAATGGTTAATGCTGCATCCTCATGCTCCTTGTGGGAAAGCTTTTAACCGTGTATGATGTGGGTATTCTGGGGTAATACCAATATTAGAACCAAACTGCTGCAAAAAAACAAGACTGATCAAAACAAAAATAAAACAAAAAAGCAGCTTCACAGAGTCCTGATCAGTTTTGTTTCCCACCTTCGCTCTCTGCCTGTTTATCACTCCGTCACCAAGTGCTCACTGCTGTGCGATGCCCCCTTTTTTAAGCTCGGAGCTGTCGAGACATGTAAGATTGCACTGAGTGCGTTGAATGAGGTGAGGTTAGTTACTTGTAGCCCTAAGGGGCCTTTATCGCAGTCACTGGCAAAAGCTGCTGTTTAGCTGATCTCTTTGTGTTGTTTGCTACAGGTAGATTTCAGCATGTATTCAATTTGCACTGTGATACTTCACCCACATGCTTTGGTACGAGAAGGCTGATTTTCGCTGTATTACTTACTGCAAAGATGGGTGTGTGTCCATTCGCATGAAGATGCAAGTGTGTGTGTGTGAAGTGCTTGAGCTGCCAGCTGACATGCTACAGAGTGGAGTGCTGGTCTGAACAGGTCCCTGTGTAAATGTAAAGCTGTAGTTTACAGGAGGAAGAGGCGTGAGGCGCCTTAAAGAGGGGGCCCGTCTTTGGTGGCCACCTGTTGACAGTGACACGCACTAATCAGTCGGCAAACAAAGTAATTTAGCTGCTTTCAAAGGCGCTGCTCTGCTTGAGCACATTGTACCAAATCTCCTGAAATAGAAACCTTTCAAGTCACCTCAGGGTAATTTGGAAGACATCATTAGGCTTTAAATAAAAAAGAAAAAAATCCTCCTAGGGAGAACCCAGCGCCACCTTCAGACACCCGGGATCTCTTCATTGTGCTGCTTTAGAAAGTGGCCAGTGTCATGTAAATGGCTTTTATTTTTGCCTCATCATGCTTTTTGCAGAAAAGCCACGCGTTTCAATGCTGGGCTGCAGCGCGGCTGTCTCCCAGTGCCTCACTGGGGGCTTTGTGCTGTCACTCTCAGGGTGCTCCCACTGGAAGAAGGGGGAAAGAGGTGGGGTAGGGTGAGGGGGTGGGGTCCGGGTTGGGCACTAACAGTGAACTCGGTGAACCCCCCCAGAGGCCTTGGCTGTGTCCACCACCCTCCCAACTTTTCCACTTGCATCCTTCCTCCTTTCCTCAACCTTCCTCCTCTCCGTATTCCTCCCTCTCTTTCTCTCTCTTTTTGGCCCTGTCACTTACAAAGCTGGACCTGAAGCCAACTGGGCCCGATCCCAGAGCTGGCCTGTCACAGCTGGCCTATCAGAAGCTGCCACAGAGGTCACCTGACACAGTGATTGTGAGCAAAAAGTGAAAACAAGGGGAAAACAGATCTTAAAAGACAAAGCATTGCCCTTCTTTTGGTGATTTCTGCTTTCAGTGTAAGCAAGTGTGTGCACACGTTTGTTAATGTGTTTGTGTGTGTGAAGAAGACAGTCTACAGCCCTTTCTCTTGATATCACAGAAATATGTTTATACAAAGTCCATTTCCTGGAAATTTGAAGGACCTCTCAGCTACATGTCGTGACCCACAAAAGCCCTTAGTGTTTGCTCAGTTGTCATTGAGATGGTCACATAGCCTGTGATAAGTGGGTATCTTGTCAAGTTGGCTACGTCTATCTCGCTTGGATCAGGTGTGATATCACATTACTGAAATTTCATACTTGGGGCATGTGATAACCACTGAATTCTAATCTACTGATGAAAAGTTTTATATGCATCTGAAAGGTCCGCAAAAAACCCAGCAGTGGATCTTATGTGTCAAACTATCATTTTAAAGGTCAATTGGGAGTCTTCAAATTCAGCATAAGCACACACTGACTATGAGCTGACTGCACATGATTTTCATCCACACTTTGAAGTATGAAACCTGTTCTAGTTGGATAAAAAAAGAACTGATAATAAGTCTGTGCCTCTGTGTTTTCTGTCTCCAACAGATGAGCACTCATCCTCCAAATCCGGTCTTTACTTCCTCATCTCTAATGAGGGCAATCAGAACCTGTTTGTGTCCCAGGCGAACTTGTGGCTGTATTTCCGTGTGCTGCCAGCCGGTCCAGAAAAGGGCCTCCGGAGGAAGGTGACGGTGAAGATCCACTACCAGGAAGCTGGGGCTTTGAGCAGTGCAGAGGGAGGTCGAGGAGGTGGTGGTGGAGGGGGAACCGGCCGCTGGACCCTGGTGGAGAAGCGAGTGGATCTGAAACGCAGCGGCTGGCATACTTTCCCTGTTTCTGAGGCGGTGCGGGCTGTGTTCGGGAAAGGCAACCGGAGGCAGGACCTGGAGGTTCACTGTGAGAGCTGTGAGACAGCTGGTGTGGCTCCAGTGCTGGTGGATCCAGGTGACCCATCCCACCGGCCCTTCCTGGTGGTGCGCGCACGGCAGGTGGATGGAAAGCACCGCATTCGTAAGCGAGGGCTGGAGTGTGATGGCACTAGTGGGGGCCTATGCTGCCGGCAGCAGTTTTACATAGACTTCCGTCTTATTGGCTGGAACGACTGGATCATTGCACCAGCTGGTTATTATGGCAACTACTGTGAGGGCAGCTGCCCGGCCTACATGGCAGGTGTGCCGGGCTCGGCCTCATCCTTCCACACTGCAGTAGTGAACCAGTACCGCATGAGAGGGATGAGCCCAGGCTCTGTCAACTCCTGCTGCATCCCCACCAAGCTCAGTACTATGTCCATGCTCTATTTTGACGATGAATACAACATCGTCAAGAGGGATGTGCCCAACATGATCGTGGAGGAGTGTGGCTGTGCTTGAGTCCCCACTGATCCTTCATTATCTGAACTTGGAACAGTCAGAGGGGCCTTTTGTACAAACAGGACGTTGCTGTACGGTACACATATACAATATACTATCTATACCTACTGTATGTGTAAGCAACACACACTGGTACAGTCTAGCCAACGCAAGTATCAATGTTGTGTCCATGTGTGCATGCGTGTGTTTGCACGTTTTGGCGCGAGTGTGTGTATTTATGAGACTGAGTGACATGCTTGTTGTCCGAGTTCTGTTTGTTTGGCAACAACTGGTCAGCGATGGGATGAGAAGGGAATAATAATCACCAAATGATACTTTTCTCTAGTTTGCCATTTCTAGTCAAAAAATAATGGCCCATCATCTCCTCTTGAATGAAGATAAAAAAAAATTTAAAAAACGCTTAAGAAAAGTGACAGGATCAGCCAATGACAAGATTGGCTTCACCGCCCACACTCCCAACCCTGCTCCCACAACCCTCTTAAGTACTTTAAGCACATGACAGACTTTTGTTTTTATAAAGCACTGACAATTCATCAGCTTATACAATTCAGAACACCAGCACTTCCCTACTATGCAGACAGAAACAGTCTGACTGTCCTCTCTGGTGGAATTAGACCGGCAGCGCTTAATTCTTTGCAGGATTATAGCCTCCACAGCAGCGCAGTGGCAAAAGAAAGTCCCCCACAGAGCCGCCACTGCTGCTGTTGTTTTTGTCACTCTTGCTGTTGACTCTGGGCCTCAACCTCAGCTTCCTGCCTGTCAAGAGTTCTGCAGGCCCTGCTACCATGACAACCAGGTGAAGATAGATCTCATAAGTGCACTTCACTTGTGCACTGGGAGTGACAGAGAAAGAACTGCTCTCTCCTTCCCTTAAGACTCAGTAGAAGTGGGTCTGTGGACACGGAGACTCTAGTTTCGGCCCAGTGGGTCGCCACAGTGCAGTGCAGCACTTGCAGAAACTGAAATGCACACCCTGAATAGCACTTGTATAAAGAAATGCCTTCCAAGGGGTACTGAGTGTCCTGTCCTATTGCTAAATAAGTGCCACATGAGCTATGCAATGTATAGTAACCTATACCCTTACTCAACATGCTCTATTAGACTGAATTCTCTTTCCACCTTTCTCTTTCTCTCGCTCTCCTACTTTCTCTCTTCAGTCCTCAACTCTTTATCAATACTTGAAATGTAATCTTTCGCTTCCCTTCCAAAGCGAATGATTGTTGTGACGTTTGCACTGAAAAGTTGCGGGATTAGTGAAACAAAAACTGCCATTGAAAAGTTATTTTTATAGAAGTAAATTGAATTTTGTTTCAGATGTATTTTACCTAATTAATGGAACCAAAGAGGCCAAGATTTTAGCTATTGTACTGAGATGGCAAGGCCATTGAGTTACTGTGTACAATACTGTTTTTGATCATTTGCAAAAGGCCTACCACTGTATCAGGGTACGATATATGATTTTCATTTCTTAGCTCTATTTTCATTCTCTGTTTTGTACAATAAGCAACACTTCATTTTTCATCTTTAATTCTATTTTTTGTTCAGTTTTCTATTTAATAAGAAAGTTATTTTTAGTTCATGTCTAAGAATCATTTAGTCAAATAAATCTGTACAGTTTATGTAAAATAAAATGTTTTCTTAAATATTTTGCAACTTTAAATTCTTTTTTTGCATGATTGAGACTGTGTGTTTTTCGCTTGGTGAAAAATGGGTTGGACGTATATCTGAATTTTTTTGTTTTGTTTCTTTCTACTGGGAGGTTCTTTGGGACGACACAAACCCAAAACAAAAGGGTGGGGCAGAAGTGGCTGGGTACTGCCAGAAAAACACGCACATACTTCAGTCTTCGTCCATACTGGTTGAAACATAAAACATCTCTATCTTCTGTTGTCTGTCAGGATTGAGTGTTTCTAATAAGCTGGAGCTGTAGATCAGTAATTACAACTTTGATTAACAGCTTCAGTGGCAGCCATAGTGGGTGCCAGCTTACAGACCTTCACATACCTGCTTGATTCCTTCTTGGCTGCAGTGTCTGTTTATGTATGTTTGCATGTGTATGCAGATAATGGCATTTTAGCTTGCATATTTGTGCACGTGTGCATTCAAGTGTGTTAGGACACTGCAAGCATTCCTGTGGTGCATGAGTGCAGCCAGGCAGTCTGTTACATCAGAGCTGTTTTTCCCTGCAATGTTTCTGTGTCTCAAGGTAGGTATACAATTGCCATAATGTCAGGAGCAGTGTGTCAACACTTTATGCAACAGCACAAGGCTTGCCTGACTGAATGTCTGTGCCAACACCTACCAACGGCTAGATTTCAAGTAATGTTTCTGCGAGGCTCCATCAAAACACATCACGTGTCCCTGTAAAATATCAGTCAGATAATTGCTCTAAATGTGTCTATAAAGATCTGCCAAGGAGCGCAATGAGATTTGTTTGCCTGCAGGGCAAATAGCATGTTAGGGAGGGATCAGTGTAAATAACTCGTTACCTGTAGGAGGATGGATGAGTCAGCAGGAGCAGCAGCAGAACACTCTATGAAGAAAAAGGGAGAAAACAAATCAATATTATGGTGTGTGTGACTGACAAGCAGGCGGACAACAAGAGGAATGATCCGTCACGAACGATCTGAAGCCACTGAGGTTTATTTTAAATCCTCTTGGTGGAGCCTCTACCTCTCTAGACAAATGACAGTCTGTGCTGGGAGCAGGGAGAAAGATGTGTAGCTGTCTTGTCATGCTTCTAAATGCATGCCAAAATCTCCGCATTTGGAATGTTAATGACGCTGAGCCAGGGCTGCAGGCCATCAAACATGCTGCTGTTCATGGCTGTACTCTGGGCCACACACTCACTCATACAAAATCACATTATTGATGTGTGTAGTTGCACGTGTGCGTTCATACTCTTTGTATCAATAATCACTTGATTGTAGGTACAAATCCACTGCTGAGTGTGCTCTCGTACAGGTTTGTATATATGACCGTGCTCTCGCCAATGTGTTCTTTCCCAAAGTCACACATATGCACAATAAACAAACACAAATATGTATGCACACACACACAAAGACACAACCTCTGCAACCCCTAGTTATCAGCTTAAACAAATATTGTCCCTCTGCCCTCCCACATCTAATACCGCCACAGGTTGAGGTCATGACAGCTGCCAAGTTGACGGGGTCAACTGGTTTATCACCGCAATAGCGTTCATTCTTCCAAATCAGCCTGGTCTGCATTCACTAATGAATTTATGACTATTCATTGCCCGGGGCCAGGCATTCCTTTGCTTCAGATCGCTTGTATTTGGCTTTGTGGCCTGGAGAAACACATTGCATGTGTTGATGACGGATATTCTGATCATTCAATATACTACACCAGTGGAATTCTACACAATAATGCATGAAGAGTAGTCGACCCTATCAAAGATTTTTTTTTCCTTCACTTATGATCACACTCCTTTGCATACAACTGTCCACTGAATTAACACAAAAGGATTTCTGTTACTGGCGATTAAAGCCTGGCCCTTTGTTTCAGCTTCAAGAGATCATGTAGAGGCACTCTTATTCTAAGGATTTATGCTGTGGGGCCCCTAAGACAGGAGGCTTTTCTCCACCCCTGTTTACTTCTCCCCACAACCCAAAGTGACATTTTGACCTTTGCAGCAACATGGACTGTGTTCACTGCAAGCTCTTTCTCACAGGCGGATTACTGGAGGAGTAAAAGGGCTTTGCAACTTGAAAGCATATTTGTGAGCACTAATGAGCAAAAAACTTCATTAATCCAGATAGTCTTAATGGATCGCTGCTTTAATGTTTGCTCTTTTTCTACTTTTTGTCACCCTGTTGGGTTAATAATGACAATCTAATCAGTTTGCCAAGAAAAAGGTGAAACATGGAGTAACCAACATGGGGAATAATCTTTGTCAGTATCTATAATGGAGCTGGGAAGCAATGTCCATGTTTTACTTTCTATCCCTCAAAACTGAAGACAGATTCAAGTTGACTGACACCAGCATCGCCACTATAGCTTTTGGTTTTACAAATGGCCAACATTGACAAAGAGCATCAGTTTTGCCTGTAAATGCTGTTACCAAATTACAAGTTATATTTTCTCTTTGACCTTCTCTCTCCTGAATGCTGTAGCAGAGGAGGTGAACAGGTCAGCATGGCACACTGCATGTATTTTTGTAAGAGCACAATATCATAATGTCAGGGTTGTTTCTCCCCACTCCAATGAAACAACTGAAGCCTTGTCACCAAACTCACGGTCCCCCACAAACTATGTCTCTCTGTCAACCCTTAAACCTTCTCACCTTCTAACCCCACCTTCCACCATCCTGACCTCCTGACTCCCAGAGTACTGACGGCACACTCAGGGCCACAAAGCCCTTATTTGTGTTGTCCATGCTGTCCACCTTTAGTACAGAAGTAGAGTAATGTTTGAGAGCCTGCCACTGAGAGGGAAGGATGGAGACAGAGAAGGTATTTGGGGTTTTGAGAGAAATGATGTCATTTTACCCAAAGGTTGTTTTCTTTGCTTAAAACTATTGGTCTAGGTTGTTTTTTCTATCATTGTTGTATTTGCATAAAAAATTCTTGGACATATTGGTCTTATCCCATTAACGCCAGCTATGTTTTTGCTCCTTAATTACTTTTCACTGCCTCAGTTGTTGCATCATTCATTTCAGCACCTCAAATTGGCATCCGTTTTTTGAGGTATACTTTAGTAGCAATAAAAATAATGATAGGAATAAAGGAGGAAGAAAGGTAACTTTATTATGGAGCTCCAAATTTGCCAAGGAGGAGGTCTGGATGGATGGATGGGTCAACACAACATTGCACTTTAACATGGGGAATCACTGTTTGTTACCCAGTTTTAATTGATAGTCAAATGTGTTGCTTTTAAGTACGTCCATTCCATAACCTTATTTGTATTATTGTATCTAAGATGATAGAGGCTTTCTAACCTTAACTTAATAGTTTGTTTAATCCCAACAAGGACCTTTCTGCATGCCAAATCTATTTGTTTATATTTTAGGATATGTGGGTTATCGCACAAGGTGGGCAAGTGGACAACCTGCTCCACAACCCATAATACCACCTGAGCCACAGTAGCCTATATATTCATTTGCACAGAAAACAGATCAAAGAGGGAACCATGGACAAGAGTAGCTTGTCTAAATAGGCCCTTGAATTGTGATTCAGACATCACAGACATCCACATTTCTCTCTTGTGGTAACAATGCTGACCAACCTTGTGATCAGACCTGAAAGTGAGTCTGCTTGGATTCCCTTAAGCCTTGATTATTCTCCCTTGTGGAAGCGCAAAGTGACAGCTGTAGACACCACAGACGCATAGTTGTTGCTGTAATACCAGTCTGCTTGGTAAACTCAGTTCCATACATGCACAGTCGGTTGTACCTGTGTATTCTGCATATGGACACTACTGCAAGCATCTGATGTATTGTCATCGTGTTCATAAATTGCATAACCCCGTGCACCCTTGTGCATTTCGAAACATGAAGGCAAAACCATGCTTTTCTGTTTGTGTTTGAGGAAAACAAATGACGCTCAAGACAAACTGTTCATACAGGGGAGTTTAAATGAACTAAGTACTAAGATTTTTGAGGTACCTTGATTAAATGCTTTTCATTGACAGTAGCAATCACAGTGGGAAGGTCTAAATTCTCTAGAAATTCTGTGCTACATTGCCCACGGTGCTCGCCACACCTCAAGAATATTTATTGACACAGTGCTACAACCCAAACTGTATGGGCGTGCTTTATTATGTGAAGCTTCAAACTTGCACCAAACTTTTTAGAAACATTCCTGGGTGTTTTTACTGTGTTACCAATGAGAGACAATTACACCGTCTGCAATGCATAGCTAATGCAGTACGTGCAACCAGTGTCTGCATTCGCTGTCTCCACTGGTCAGTGCCCAGGGATATAGAAACCATGAACTGGTCTTAAAGAGCCTTTTAGATCGAACGCAATTTCTCTACACTCACTACTAAGTCCGGTGCACTGCTCAGGGGGAGTCACAGAGGACAGAACTTAGACCTATGTGGGCATGCATATGCTTTGTCCGGTGCAGCAGGAAGGCGTGGTGTGTGACATGAGCCATAGGAATTAATGGGTTTCGTAGCTGTTGTCACATTCTGTACAAAAGGCCATAACACTGGTCTTATTTATATGACATATTCACACAGAGACACAAGATCCATGACACCAGACCCTATCCAGCATTAGCTTGAATATAATTTAGACCTGCACCTGAATCATTTGAAGCAATCACTATGTAAGTAATTAAATCGGACTGTTGCGTCTTTTTGGGCTTTGTGTTTGTACTTTGCTTTGTGCAGTTTTATGTGCTTAACTGTGTTGTCCTAGCAAGAGTCATCTCATTTATACCCAGACCTCACTGTTCGGCAACATTATTTCCCAAATTTGATTAAGATTAAAGTCTCTGTCAGCATAAATTAGGCTGGAATTAAAAAGTTGTAAACATTAGATAAGAAGTCTGTAAAGAGCTGAGAAAAGCAAATTACTGGGCACCGCTATAGCTTACCTAGTTGAGCAGGTGACCCATGAACAGGGGCTATAGTCCCCAACGCAGCGGTCGTGGGTTCGAGTCCGACTCACAACCCTTT